GCCTGGATCAACGCAGCCATTGACGCAATTTATTAGTATTGAAGTGCCAAATATCACCCACAAATGGCACACTTTGTGCATTAAGGTTGCTTCAACAAAGACACCATTAATATAGTCTGTTATACCGATATCAAGAAAAAGGCATGGAAGACGTCCCTATTGATATCATGCAATTAGCTGCCATGGTCAATTTGCCCGAGAATAACTCCACCCAATTCTATCGTATGACATATCAGTGATGTTGTTGAACAACTTTGTACAATATAGAGAACGATACTCAAGAAGTTCAATTGATCCAGCCAGTAAACTCAACCCGGCCAGAAGCGGCATAGCCTACAGTCACATGGCAGTCATATCTTACTACTTTCCTTTCACCTGCAAACTTCATCTTCCTCCACAAGATTCCAGATCTCTATAACAGAGAAGTTACTTTATTGAACTTTTCGAATTTTTTTTTTATTTTCGTTTTTTTAAAGGCCATCAGCTCTTATGGCTGTAGGGTATCGCCGTTTATGTACAACTTCCGACACACAGAGTTTCTCTGTTCTCGAGCGATGACCCTCTCACTGTCTGGCATTGTCAAAACGCCCTCGCTTCGCCGTGAACAAATCATGAAAACGCTTCCAAATCACAAAAAAAGATATATGTGCAAAATAGAGGGGTGAAGAAGCGAAGTGCGGGATACTCAATATCCATCTTTACTCAGAGTCCTCAGATACGCCATGGCCTTCCATGGCGCTGACACTGCCCTTATATACGCGTCTACCGCGAATGAACCAATCGCAAAGAACAATGAAAATCACCACACCATATACGGCCGAGACATAGTTCATGTCTGTGAGGAAAGTCAGCGGAAAATGTCCAATCAAGTTTGTTAGGGGTAAAAAGGACTCACTGCCTGTGTTTACCGGCATAGTTGATGGGAAGGAGTACATAACAAGACAGAAGATGGTCCATAGCACGGTGACAATGTTGGCGAAGGCACCCCACTTTCCAAGCCAGAAGGGGCCGTGCTTGATGTTGTCACGGCCACGATACCAGAGGCACAGGATGGGACAGGAGTACGAGATGTACAGCAGGGTGATACAGGCCGTCACCATACTGTTGAAAGCGGTAGAAGAGCCGAGATAGAGCAGTCCGAGAACACCAACGATGAAGCTACTGGCGTTGTGGGCGTTCAGGGGCACATCGAGAGTGTGGTTGACCTGAGAGAGCCACTTGTGTCCAGGGATACCACGGTCACGAGCAAAAGCCCAGCAGAGGCGAGACTGCCAAGTGTGGCACGCAATCAGACATCCCATCCCGGTAACGAGCAGCAATGTCTCCAACACAATGGCGCCGGGCACATTGTCAAGAGCTTGGTAGTAAAGCTCTAGGATAGGAACACCAGTGGCTGTATTCAGGAGCTTGTTCAGGTCATTCAGACTGAAGAACATGGAAATACAGTAGAACCAAGAGGTGACGAAACCAATGCCAACCGTGGCCATAATAGCAATGGGGATGTTTTTCTCAGGCTGCGGCACCTCCTCCGCAAGATGGGTCGCAGAGTCCAAACAGGCAAATATCCAGTTTGGATTGATCAACCCAACAATGAAAGCCATACCGTCCGACTTCCATCCAGTGGAATTGACGAAATGACCGAACACATATGCTCCACTGGCATGAGTCTTGGCACAGGCGGGCACCGTAACCAAAATCACGAAGAAGGATAGTAAAGAGATGTAAAGGGTGACCTTTGCAACTGCAGGCAGCGTTTTACCCCAGCAGTTGAAGAGATAGCAAAAGAAATTAATGAGCTGATAAGCCACCACAGTATGCCATGGCTCCGGGACACTGTTATCTCTCAGTCAGCACCACACACAAAAGGATACATCTAAAAGGAAGGTTAGGGCTTCCAGGGCATACAATTCGGGATGGCCAAGTTGCCACATTCCTACTCCAGCGGACCCAAGACTGAGCGCGACACTAGCACAGGCGAAGATAGCACCAGCATACCCAAACCAGCCGGTGAAATAGGATGCGAATCGTGCGTATTTCTTAGGCGCAAGTTCGTTAGCCCAGAAATATTGGCCACCGGCATTGGGCATGGAACTGGCTAATTCGGAAAGCGAGGCCCCCACACAGGTCGAAATGAAGCCGATCCAGATCAACCCATAAACGATAAGGACCGTGCCTCCAGAACTGATACCAGTGATCAAGGATGCAGAGATACCGAACCAGGAATTGGACATACAAAACGCAATACCAACAAGTGAAAGTATTGAGAAATTGCGCTGCAAATCCTGTGTGTATCCCATCTCGGCCAGCCTGAGTGCGTCAGAATCATCAGCTCCCGACGCATTCTCACTCTTGGATGCCGGATTCACATTCGGCTTCTTTTCTATGTCGAAGTCGGCCATTGTAGCGGATAATTGCAATGGGTGTCAGTATACGAAGATGGTGCAAAGGGCAACACAGTGTTCGAAATAGGGATACCGAGCCGGCTGCCGTGTTGCAATATTATCGCGTGGGAGTACGTAGATCGGATGGTCTAATTGAGTCGATTATAACCACGGTTGCATAAGGGCTTATAGATTCGTTCCGGGTTTGGTTCGAATGGTAACGGGGCTGCTGTTGGACAGATTGGCTGCTGTTGGGGGTTCGATGTCAGGTCCTGGTGATGTTACTGCTGGCCAGGTCGACTGCTGTTGGCACACTTCCTGCGGGTCCAAAGTCGCGAATGGGTCGTCGAGTTTGTCGTCGGATTCGAGAAACTGCTGGGTGATTGTCGCACACGGAGAGATGACTGGACCTATCGATACGGCGATACAAGATACGGAACAGCCGAAGCGATCAGTATTACAGAATTCAATCTGTTTGTTTTCGTTGCTTGTTTTCTCGAGCTATCAACAAAGCGGAAAGGCGTAAGACATAGACTGAAGTCTTGGTGTCGGGTACAGCCTAACGCAAGAAGCAAATACCTCAAGCTGCAGATGCAGGAGAAGGTTTTTGCAGAAGGTAGGGGGGAGGGGAGAATATGAAAGGAGGAATTGATGTGAATGTTGGAGAAAGATTGGTCTCATGGGAGGGGCGAAAGTGAGTATTTAAGATATTGTCACGCTGCGCTTCATTTTTCTTTTCCTTTTCTTTTATTAATGTCAACCCTATGCCTCGATGTAGCCTTCCTTGTCGACTCCACTTTTGATTTGATTAGTTGATCCCCCAAAGGTCCGAGAGGTTCCCCATCTTTTACCTCTTGGCTCATTCTCTCACGGAAGAACTAACTATAGCGGACACCGTGATAGGCACAAAGTTAATTTCGAATTCCGATTTGCCTCCACCTACCAGTATATCGTCATAGGTTATGCACTAGGCACATAATTAACCTAGTGTCGTTTTGGTCCTGAGTCCCTGGTGGCGATGGGTTCAATGAATTGAGGCACTATTCGGCTGTGGTGAAGGCTAGTCAAAAGCCTTGGTTGCATAGTCAACTTTGGTGCAGTGGTTGGTTGATCCTTGCTACACACGGTGTTTTTGCTCCACTTCGGCCCTAGAGGTTCCGCTGAAAATTTTTGATTCTCTAGCCATGTGCGTTTTACTTTTACTTTGAAATTTTACTCATCTTTCTCGTTCCCTCCAACGTCATACATTATGGATACTGTGCGCGTCAGGAGTTAGTTTTCTGCAGTCTAGTTCCAACCGGCTCGGAACTTCAGAGTTCATCGGCCCGTGTCCGACGGTTTCTAGAAAGCCAATCCTGCAGCAGAGATTCTTGCGAGAGCGAACGGCCTAATCAATAATTGGTATGCACCGTATATCCTATACGATAATCAACTCTATTATAGTTTCCGGGTGATACTAGCCAAGGTTATTGTCACTGACACCTCAGGATTTCTTAGGGAAAGTCCTCCGCTCAACCTGTTGACGTTCCGAACTTTCTCCAGTCGCTAGCTAGCCTTTGGTTTTAGTAACATCCACGACTGGTACTAGTGGAGTTCATTCTTATGTGAGGTTTTGATTCGAGCCAAGATGAGAAACACTCCACTAAAAGATAACCTCACCGATCCGCGTGTGAAGCTCGAGGCATTTTTATTGATTTTTATTCTCGGTCGAATGGTCTGTATGCCCAACAACTCAACCGCCTTTTTAATACGGTATAAAAATGATGTATGCATCTTTACAACAGAGTACAGCATTCTCAAAATGAGCACAACCATGTCCTACCTATCAGAGCCAATGGGATGCCCGGTCTTTATCGCATACATACCATGAAGCTATCCCACTCGATTGTAAGGGGCGCCCCTAGTTAATTACGGAATCTTCCCGCGCCTAAACAGAAGCTTGGCTCTACTCAGCCTTCCGCCGCCAACATGCTCACAGGCAGCAACCTTTACCCTTTAGAGAACCCGGATATCTTAGAGTTCCCGGTGGCTTTCTTTTTTTTTTCCATATCAAATGGCGATCATCGCTGCACATCGTCGCGACAAGCTAATAACATCTATTCTTTAAGGTAATCTCGACGGCTGAAACCGATGATAAGCTGGTGGTATACGAGACCGTAACTTCAGTGCTACACTAGCGTGACTCCATGATAACATACTTAGATAACAATTGCCTTGTTTCCTATTCTTTTCATATGCTTCTCAAGTGGGTACGGTAGCAAGTAGCCTAAGAGAGTACGTAACGGAATCTAACCGACAGCTTCAGATCCGGAGGTAACATTCGGCATGGCAGCCACAAAAGCTTGGAATCCGCTTCCCAATCGGGAATAGCGCTGTCAGTGGCCCAGAACAGTTGAGCGCCCGATTCCGAATGGTCTACGGAGTAAAATATTATTCATTAATTTGTTTCCATAGGAGAGACAGCAATAGAAATGGATGGCACCTCACCATTAAACCACAGTGACCGGGTCCAGAGCACGTAAACTACTGGCACCGCCTGAGTGCTTTATCACGCGATCACTAGAATCACAGAAATCCAAGGAACGGAATGATTGAGAGGAGATAATCATTCAATCATCTCCGCACAGTAAGGTTGGAGATAGACATTTCCCGAATCATATTCATCATGTCGTAAATCTTCAGCGAACGCCTTCTCCATCCATTGCCCGTAAGAAGGAATAGAACCCTATCTACTACACTCCTCATCGACAAGAACCCAGCTGACCAGACCGGCAAATCCAACGCAACAGTACCAAAGTGGTAAAGGTCCTACCCCTACCCCGGAAAATCCCAGCCATTAACCTTGTTTCAAAATGAAACCTTCCCATCGGTATCCCCAAAGTGTAAGCAAAAGGATAACGACCTAACGGCATAGTCAATCAATCATCAATCACTCCAAGCCATCCACAGCAACCAATGACGGAGAAAAGCTTATCAAAAACACGGTAGCATCAAATGAGGCAGCCGACGTATTGTATGTCGAGTGTGCGCCAATGGTGTAGAGTTCGGTGGCTGAAAATGAGGGGATTGATGGTTATCATGGGCTCTCGGGTATACATAGTATGTAGTTGATCGTTGATTTTAGTCCGTAAACTCAAGTGGTTACCCGAAAAGAGTAAAGATGTCCGTCCTGCGTGGGGATAGGCTACAGGATTGTAGATACTGCTCGAGATAGCATATGTTTCCCCCGCTTGGTATGAACGAGGGCTTTGATAATTATCTTTGTTGAATGAATCTTGATATAGACGATCCTCGAGGCAACGTCTTGGAGAGAGTGGGTGGTAGTAAGCCCAGGTTGTGTTTGAGTTTTGGATTGCGGTATGAAGATCGTTGCGTTTAGAGCTTGTGTGACGATACGCCCCTCTCAGAATATGGGGTAGCAAATCGCGTGGGCATATTAGGTAAGATGAGTCTAAATTTATAACTATGGATAATACTACGAGAGGAATGCATCGGGATAGCTGTATCACAATTCTAGGCATCATGAGCGAGACTATTTGAGATATATTTCCACGTCATGGGGGTTTTATGGTCTTCATGTTCTGACGAGTCTTTCTCCCAGGCAGCCACGGCTAAAATAGTACTTACCCTCGGGGTACAGGGAATATACCAAATCACAACGATAGATAGATAGGACGGTGAAAAAGGCCAAAAAAAGGAACTTAAAAAGAAAGAGACGTCAGCGACAGGATTCGAATCCTGTCGCTGACGGTTTGTCTTGTTTTTTGCCCCAGTAATCTTTACTGGCCGACAGCTAACCGGTTAGTTGACTCGTTTCCTCTGTATGTGCTTCCCTATGCTTTAGGATCGACTAACCCATGCCGTACTGCTGTTCACATGAAGCCTTTCTCCACTTCAATCCTCATTTGAGTAGTACTGTGTATTCTGATTCTGGGTCAGGGCCTACTCAGTAAAAAGCCATGTGGGTAGTCAGAGCTACTTTTTTGCCCCACCCTGACCCAGCCGCAACCGTAGATAGTGGAATACAGGGACTGATAGAAATATTTAGGGTGTCTATCTCCAACTGTATAGAGGATTAATAGGTGTTAAATACTTATCTTCTCCTTTTTATTAATCTGTTCCTTGGACTATGATTTAAGTGATTATATAGTGATCTTGATTGAATCTCTGGTTCTGTGATAAATTATTTCTATTATCCTTATAGTGGGAGGTAACAGGATAATGGATAAATACTCTTCTTGGATCATAATACTTCTTAACCATCTCGAAATTGAGAAAACATGGCAGGACTCAAAGAGAACACGCTGTTCCCTTTACAGTGAAACTATTGTATACATCTGGTCTTATTTAATGTTTCCTTCTCACTATCTGGGCGAAAGATAACACTCTTAGTGAGAACCGCGATGCGCGATATTGAGACAATGATGGCTTACCCCTTCTCACATCTTTGAAGGATGAAAGTATTCTGAACTCACCATAAGTCTCCCTTTTCCCCTCCCTCTTTCTCTCTCCCTCTACGGTTGCTGTGGTCTTCCACTTCCTCGTCATACATGAATCTAGTGCATTCTCGGTCGCAGCTCTCCCTTTATCAAAGATGACAAATGTGTCATATTTTCACTCCTGTATAAGCTCGTTGTATCTATGTGGTGCTTGGCTCAGCTGCCCAATGCTCATTTGACGGATGTTATTCAAATCTGTGTTGGCGTAGCACAGACGATGGCGCATTAACTGTCCATATTGACACATTTGCAAAGTCCAGAGTCTCTCTATGAAGCAATGATCATTACTTCATTATGGATCCATCATCGATTGTATGCCTACTGTGAGCAATAGTTAATTGGAGATCCTGAGTCACTACGAAGAAATAACACTAGAGGGTCACCCTTAAATGTCAACGATGGAACAACTATGGAGGGATTCGTAGGGCATAGCAGATCCGCTTAAAGCAAGACGCAAGAGATAAATCATCTCATACAAAGTATCATAGAGCTCTGCGGGGAACTTCTATTGAATGGAAGTTTGACACCATTTGTGTGACATGAGGTCAAAAGCGTCAACATAAACTCATCTTTGAAATAGAATATAAACCGAGTATATAATTCAACATCTGCAGGTCAAACATAGCTCATCCATATATGCAATGACTGAAGGCTTGTGTATCTTCCGATTCAAGCTACAGTAACTAGATTTCTTCTTTTGTTCGACACATGGTTTCCGATTTCGAGCACCTAAAGCAGAATCTATTCTAGGTCATATTGAACGGAGAGCGGTATACTCCACTGTGGGAGGTATATGATATCACAAGGATAAACCAACTCCTAATGGTATTTTGGTTAAGTGGGGTATGTTAGCACATATAAGTCTACAGAGTAAGTTACACTCTCTACTTATCAGAGTAGTATATAAGACTAAATTGTGTTCGCATGTGATGCGCTTTGGATTTTGAAAGATAGTATATGACATTATATATTTATGTATATATCAAGCAGAAATAGATCACAGGGGATAACTTGCTAATTCGATTGAGACAACCGAATCACCGTAGCCTGTTCATGTTCTGTTGGGTCTGATTATTAATCTGGGTACAGCTGTTTTTCCTCTGTAGTGTTTTAGGTGTAATGCACGAAGCATTTTTGGTTATAGAGATGAAGTTGTATTCTGATTGCGAAATGTCTGCAATGCTGCAGTCAATTCAACTAGAGTGGTAAATGCACGATCGATGCCACTTTTCATTGCTTAATAAAGTCGGCGTATCAGAGAGACGAAATAGGGATGTTCTTTATATTGAGGTTGCATTATCACAGGAAGATACTTGGCGAAAGCCCCAGGCTACGAGATCATGTGCTAATGGGATGATCTGCCTTCTGATGCGGTTCACCGTTACACCCTCGTTTCGTCGTTTAATACACCGTATTTAATCTATGAGAAGCACAATAGAAGATCTATGGAATCTTTGGAGGTAAGATCTGACTATTCCTCTTTTTCTTTTTCTTTTTTCTTTTTCTTTTTTTTTCTTTTTCTTTTTCTTTTCCTTTTTAGCGTTCAGAATCGATGCTGCTTGGACTAGCATTCAGTACACGGGATGCAAGTTTCTATTCTCGACATGGTCCACAGTTCGTCTGATTCTGAAACGACAGTCGCTAACTTTCGGGGAAGTGCTTACCCGCTCTCGTCTCAGTGACCGTGAGGCACACTTCCCAGGATATGCTTGCTTCATGACGCAGAAAGCGATTGACTCATGTGGCCGAGGAAGATGTAAGGCTCCCCCTTTGTTGGCCTTATTCAGGATGAACTGGAGCAGACCGACAAAGTACCCCTGAGGCTCGGGTGTGTATGATGTCACGTTTCAACCTCCTATCCGCAATTTGCGACCGACCCAAACATCGGCCCCAGACCAACGCTTTAGCGTCTCACTAGTCAGGAACGGGATCCAGCAACGGCCAATCTTCTGCGTTGGCCCCAATTCCGTCTTTCTCTCATTTGCAAATCAAATCCTCCGATGAAACCACAAACTTTCGTTTCAGGTCAATCCACACCGTTATGATTCCTGCTTTATCATAGGGCAAGCGCCCGATATGGTGCCTCCGTATGTTCAGAATGGCCACCCCTGTTCGCTGGGACCGAACGAACGACGGAGTACTGGCATTACCCCTGGAGATCAGCAATATCGAATAATGGGGCGAAGTGGAGGCCCAGGGAAACCGTCGGGCACTGCCTCTCTTGGGCGCTGGCTAGCTGAGAAAACCAAAGACGCTCACGTCTCTGAGTGGACGTCCCACTGGCACACGAGACGTCGAAGAAAAACTGCCCCAGTCCTCTGCTAATTATCCGTCATCTATGGAGGTCCTGCGAAGGTTGTGATAGGGAGGAAGGGGAATCGACATCCCAGCCCCCCGCGCTTGTAAGTTTGTTCTAAGTGGTTCCCGGCTATTGGGGCTCCATCTGCAGTCTGATAGAGGGGACGCTAACTCTTCTAATGAAATTTCCTTGAGATGATCTTGCTCCTTATCGTTTAACCCCTCCCTGCAGAGTTTGGTTCGAATGATTGTCATTAATTTCGAGAAGAAAAAAAAAAAAAAAAGGCAAGCACAGTACGGAGTAGTTATGGGAATAAGAAGATAGAATTTAATAGTTCCATGATCGCTTCGTAGCGACCCAACGGCCAAGTAGAATTCGGTTCTTAGGTCCGAGAAATAGGTAGAAGACCAAGATGCTGAATTAAATAGTTTATCAGATAGGGGCGAAGGGAAGCGAAATGAAAAAACAAAAAAATCTGAAGAAATTGGAAAGGGCAACAATCAAGGACAATCGCCATTGGTGATTGGGGCAAATCGGACTGGACTTTACTGACATTCCCCAGCGAACAGACCACCTTCTGTTGAAGTCACTCGGCTCTTTTGCTACTATCGCTTTGTTTAAAACCACTTCCTCCTCTCCCTTTCTTTATTCCCACCACATCATCCGACGGCGTTGACGTCCTTCCGCTCCTTTATCATTTTTCTCAGAGGGATTGTATCCTTTCTGTCTTGTCCATTTTTTCTTTTCACACTCCTTTTGTCGCTCGTTCTCCACAGTCTCTCGTTAAATCTGTTGATTTGTGTTATTTCTGCAGTCGTGATCTGACGGTACGGCCGACCATGAACTCCCTGGTTTATTTATCATTCCAGTACAAGAAACATGGCTAATGAACATTGAGGTTACTCGATAGCCGACTCAAAAGCCCTAGATTCCTGGTGAGATTCCAGCATAACTATTGGAGTATCTCCAACAGAGTCAAAGAATCGATCGATCGACAGCCACCCAAGTAATCCCTGCGGATTTCCAAAAAGAGTATGTCTACAATTTCTCTCTATCTCTGTCTCTCCCCCTCCCTTTTTTTTTTTTTTTGTCCCTTTCACTCTCTTCACACTCCAGTGTAATATCAATTCTATATATGCTCTCTTCTCCAAAGCTCCAGCCCTAAATGCCCTCGTGTAATACATCCCAGTGGCGCGTAATAAGAGACTGCGCGCCGACGACGAAGCAAGGGGAATCATGTCTTCACCCCTTGCGCCAGACAACCAGCCACTGAGGTTGAAACAACCATGATGTCAGAGGATTGTCCTGCTCCCGGTTTCTGGATTGCTTGTCGTCCTTTATTATATGTGGAGCTGGTTTCAAAGGGTTGGAGTTATGCGCAAACTTGCTTTGCCACTGTTGTTATTGTTCATGATGCGATTTTATACTATGTTCTACTCCCCGCCATCGTCCGTCTGTACTACTGTGTAGTAGCCAGCAGCACCAGGCTCCATCGGTTCCCTTCCTTATTTCGAACTTTATTCTGCCATATCATTCCTAA